CAACGTACAGTAACACTCGCCGTTGGGATACCCAGGATCCATGGGTATTTTCGATGGCTTCGCTTGGCCCATGTCAAACCTTTCAGCAATCTTTCGGATGTAAGCTGATTGGTTAAACAAGAAACTGGCGGAACACGTTTGCTCCACCTGTATGCCGAGGTAGTTGGTGGCATCCCCCAGGCACGTGAGCCTGAATCGTTTGGACAGGTAGTAGTAGATCTTCTCGTATTCGTTGTTGTCGGGACTCACAATCAACATATCGTCAACGTGCAACAATATGAACGATAATTGATAATCGATGCGCCGAACGCGAGGGATGCAACACATCTAAATCTCGATTTTAAATGGTCGAAAAATCTCACACTAGCGAATCAATCTACGAAAAATCTTTTTTTATCTCTTGCATCTAAACCCATCTACTCGCTCCGTTCTCCACCTTTTTGCAGGAAATCTTCAAAATCATAATCAATCGTGTTTCTATCTATTAAGCGCGAGTGCATGTCACAACAGCAAAGCAAAAAATTTCCTGCATCTTAGATAGAGTCGCCCCCCTCAGCCATACGTAGAGGCACGGGTCTGCCTTGGATTGCTTGTACCCAAGCTGTTTCAACGTTTCCGTGATTTTCTGGTTCCAGATACGACCCGCTTGCTTCAGCCCGTATATGCTACGCTTCAACAAACACACCTCCCCGTTGCCCCGTAACTTGGGTAGATCACCTTTTCGTGGTACGTTACGGGATGTAAGATCTACCACCGATTCCTAGTCCTGACTACTTCAAACTAGGGGAACAGATTTTTTCAGTAATCAAAGGAACACATTTTAGTCCTTGTTACTTTTTATGCCTTGTTGATAGTCTCGGCTTTGTCAACCGAGGATGATCTTGAAACAAGGCCAAATGAGTTATTTAGTCTTCATCTATGTGATTCCTAATCTTCTATTCGTTGTTCCCTAGTTTGAAGTGGTTAAGACTAGGGTTCTGATCGAGGGACACGACTCTACCTACGCTGCAGTAAAGATTGTGTTGTGCTGTGGCTAGCTGGTCGCACTCTGAGTAGATGGAAAGAAGATTGATGACGATTCTGAAGATTTCCTGCAAAAAGATGATGCGCGATGCATGTAGATGCGAGAAATGCAAGAAGATTTTTCGAAGATTCATTCGCTAGTGTGCGATTTTTTGAACATCTTAAATTGAGATTTAGATGTGTCGCCTCCCTCGGTTCTGATGCAGGGTCATTATCGGTATCATTCCATAATTTTGTTACTAAGGTATCCAATTTTGACTGACAAAGGTGCACGCCTTTGGAGGGTGTTTCAACACTCCGAAGGGTATAAATAGCGCGACCTTTCAATAAGAGTTGGATCCTTGCGATCAATGCAAGAACTACAACTGTAAAAAAAAATCGAATACTTCATCATTTCTCAAAAGTGTGATCGAGTTCGAGTTTTCTTGAAGGATTGCGAATTCCTCATCCATTGCCTTCTTCCACTCGTGGCGTTCCTGACTGCGTATAGCTTCATCATAGGTACGGGGTTCATCATGCTGATTGGACACTAGTCGGGTGGTTTCTTGATACCGCAACGGTAACGCACCTTTGTTTTACGGCTGGACCGTCGTACATCCTCGGCTTCGTCCTCGGTGACAGCGTCAAAATTCTCTCCGGCGCTGAAGGATTCATCAGAGAACCCTTCGAAATCGTTTTCATCGGATTCCAAAAGCTCCAACTCGAATTTATCGGCTGTAACAACGGAAATAGGTTTGAAAGGATAAAAAACGATGCTTCGCTCGTGAGGTTCGGTTTCCCGAAACTCATCTGCTGGAATGGACCTGGCATCTCGAGATACGACGAGCTTGTTCGTCGCTAGATCCAGGAAACGATAGCCCTTGTGCTGTTGCGAATAACCGACGAAGGCAAGGGGTAAGTCACTGAGTACATTGTGCCAATATTTGATTCGGCACAGCTTGGGCACATCCATCGGCATACCTTCGACACAATCTCGTAGGCTTTGGATTGGTGTAAATAAAATGGGAGTACTGCTGGACAACTGTCATTGAAGTTGTTTACAACATTACGTGCTGTTTGACTGTATATTCAGGAACATCCTCTAATTCAATATACCAGAGGAACTCAGACTAGCAGTTTATTTCTCGGTTCACTTATATATTTAAATACGAAATGTAGGGTCTAGAGTGGGCTCAGGAGAAAGAGGCAGTTAATCAGACCCATTTGTACCCTTAATTCAAATAATGCTGCAATTCACACAAAACAAACTACTGAAGCCATGTTCATCATCCAAAATCCAATAATGTTCCCCGCCGGTTCCAACTCCGGTCGCTGATAGACCGTTGCTTTTCACATCATGAAAGGCTAGGTTTCTGGTCTGCCTTTGAGGGCATTATAAAACCCTAAAACACAGGACTTTTATAATCCTATGAACACAAAACACCATAATTTCGTACACCTGCCACTTTCCGCGTCAAACTCAATCACATTTTTGTTTGCGAATTCAAACCAAAACATTCAAGGTGTCAGAAATACCGGGTTGCCGGGACGGGTATATTTTAAAAAAAATCGCAGCTTGCGGCACACTAACAAAAAAGATGACCCAAGATTGGTGTGCGGAGTGACCTACCCCTTGGACGAAGGTCATTTTCGTCGACTTTGGGTCCAATTTCGTACGCTTCTCTTTTGGGACCCACACAAAGGCTTGTGATCCGAACAATGGAAGATGGGTGACGTTTGGTTTCTCTCCAGTCCACAGTTCCGTATGGCGTTTCCGACACGCCACTTGACGGCAAACAGTTCGCTGTGTTTACTGCTTCGACCCATGCTTTGGCATTCTGGCATCAAGCAGCATGCACCTTCCCATCTCAACTAACGAACGATTTTTCCTTTCAGCTACTCCGTTCTGCTGGGGCGTGTGGCTGATACTAAACTGCTGCCGAATGCCCTCTTGACGACAACAATTCTCTAGCTGCTGGTTCTTGAACTCACCACCTTGGTCCGATCGAATTACTTTCGGTGACCTGCCAAACGTTGTCTTCATCTCCTGCACATATTGCTTGATGTAATCAACTGCTTGCGACTTTTTTTTTTCAAAAAATACACCAGCGAGTGCCGCGTGAAGTCATCGACAACCACCTGGCGTTGGTGTGTTTATCGGTCCGCATAAATCCGTGTGCACGAGGTCGAGTGCTTGCTTCGTTTTCTTCTTGGATTGGATGGGGAAAGGGACAAACAACACTCGCACACAGCTTAAACACCGCAGCTCACTATCTTGATCCCGGTAGCCAGATTCTTCGTTTCCAACTCGGCGACTGCTTCTGGGTTTCTGTGGCTCAGTGGGTGATCCGAAGGTTGTACAAACCGCCAGAACCAAGAGCTATAACCTTGTTGCCTTTGGAAATCCGACATCCTGCATAGTCGAAAATTTGCGACAATGGCGCCCTTCTTTGTGGCAGATCGTACAGAGAACAGATTCGATTCAAGATCAGGGACAAACAGCGCATCATTGAGGGTCATGCTGTTGATATTTCCTTCTTCACCAACGCACTGAATACGACACATACCTTTTCCAGCCGATTTGGTCTTCATTCCATTCACCAGCACGATGTTTTCGCATACGGACTCGTCCAGAGACTCGAAAAACTCCTTGTTGGCTGCCATGTGGGACATTGCGTCAGAATTAACCACCCACAGGTTGACGTCACTGTCTATGGTTGCTTCGTGTAATGTTTCTTTGGTGGTTCTGCATCCTTGCTCTGGGCCAAATAACAACAATCCTTCTGCTTGTGGCCAACTTTATGGCAATGGTGGCAAACGATTTGCCTCTTCGTACCTGCCTTCAGTACCGAATGTCCACCACCGGCACAAGTACGCTTTGCTACCTCGTCCACCAGCTTCGGCTTGACTAGGTCGAACGTTAGGTCAGCATCAGAACGGCTTTCCAGAGCCGTTGTAAGCGGATTGAAAGAATCCGGCATGCTTTGAAGGACCATCACAACTTCCTAAGATTTTGTGACAAGCAATGCATTAGGTATAGGAAAAACGTCATGATGGGGGGGGGGGGATTTCTCCTAAATTAAGCGTGACATAATTAATGCATGGGCCCCAACTTTGCCAATGCCATTAACTTGCTAGACGATCACGATCTCAAGATATAGTATAAACCTCGGTATAAACAGACAATTCGTTTGCACAATAGCGCTGTGTAGTGAGAAAATTATGAACTGCTAAACTGCAACATGTCGGCCTTACTCAGTCGAGCAACTTTCCCCAAGACACACATTTTCTATCTGGTCTCGAACGTGACATATTTATTAGTGTGGCTCAAAATATAAATTTTGCTCCACCAAAGGTTAATCGATTTCAAAATCAGGTCCTGGAAATTCTCCCCAAATTTGAGCTCATTTGGATGCGAACTTATACTGCACTGGGCCTTTGAAGTTTTTATGGGAATTACTATGAAAAAAAAAGTGAACTTTTTGTACTCATCGTTCTACTGCGCTTTTCAGGATAGTTGTTTCATTCGATGTTGAAGTTTTTTCTCTCCATAGGATCTTATGTATGGGTATCCAAGTTTAACCTTGTGCAAAAAAAAAGAGAATCGACTGTAGTTCAAGTCTAAGCCTTCTTAAATAATCATTGTTTCTCTTTCCTACATGATTAGTAGTGATATCATTATAATTTATAATGCAGTTGTTTCCCTGAATTTAAAGAAAATTCCCTGAGTTTCCATGTCATTTCCAGGTACCCGACACCCTGCCATGGTCCAATTGTCACCTAGGTAGACTGAAACGGTATGAGCCAAGTGGCGGAATCGAAATAGAGCGATTGAACTCAATGTCAATGAATGTTATGTAAAATAGAACCGTTTCCCAGCCAGTTCTGAGAATGAGAAGTACCACTGCTTCGCTTAACATTTTCATGCGATCTTCAACGATTGTTGCGATTTCTCCAAGAGAGGCATTCGATTGCCCATCAGTGAGCAACGTACTTACTTGAACGTGATGAACAGTTCCTTATTGCCAACGCTCATCCGCACCGTCTGCCCGTCCTCAACACCGGCCGGCACCGGAACGGTGACCCGTTTCCTCTGAACTGTCTGTCCCTTGCCACCGCACTCCAAGCACGGATACTTAATGTACATTCTCGTTCCCTGACAGTACCGACAGGTCGAGCGCATCACGAACGGTCCCGTCGAAATCGTTTCCATTCCCGTTCCATTGCAGTACTGACACTTGCCCGGTTTGGTACCCGGTTCACAGCGCGAGCCAGTACATTTCGGACAAGTATCCACCACATTGACGTCGATATCCTTGTTAACACCTCGTGCCGCCTGGGCAAAGGTCAAATTCATCATCACTTCCTGGGCTCCACCAAATCCGTACCGCGAGTCGGAGAAGTCATCAAATCCGGCCTTGAAACCTCCGTCGCCGAAAATCTTCCGGAACAGCTCCTCCGGGTCGATCGTGCTACGGAACTGCCAGTTCTGCGAGAACCCTTGCGGACCATGATTGGCGGGACCACCACCGGACCGACCCATCTGCTCCGATGTTTGACCGTACGTATCATATTCGCGTCGCTTGGTATCATCACTCAACACCTACAAACGAGAGTAAACAACAGCGCACATAATCGTCGACTGTATTTTGACAACCTTCCTCCCGTTATGTAATGTCTCACCTCATACGCTTCGGAAACATCCTGAAATTTCCGACTAGAGTCCGGATCACCCTTATTCGTATCCGGGTGGTATTTCTTCGCTAATTGGTAGTACGCTTTCTTGATTTCCTTCGCCGATGAATTCTTCGCTACACCCAGTACGCTGTAGTAATCCTTCTTCAGCAGCACATTGCTGGTGCTGATTGATCTCGTCTGGACGATGTTGGTACCTAGAAACAAACACACACAAGTTGATGGATGATGTAATCTGGAGGTAATCTTCGTGTCGCCCTCAAACCTTTGCTCCGTTGTTTGTCGGTGGCAAAGAGAGCTGCCGGGGAACCGGATGGATCGCCGAAAGGCCGACAATGCACACAGCAGCCACTGGTGATGGGGCTGCCGGCGGAACTGAACTGTCGGGCGGTGGTCGCTGCGGCCAAGATCTTCTTGCCGTTGATGATCCGAAAACCTCTCTGCAGCAAGCCACGGGTGTTCATTTTCTATACGTTGCGGAAAGCTTGTCACTTTACTTTTTCGGCACTAAACAGAAAATATGTACACACACCGCGTACCCGACCGACAGAAGAGGAAAATCGTTCGCGACTAGTAATCCGATGGCCAGCAGAAAATGTGTGTCGCGAGATTTTACGGGAGCATGAAAGAAACATGCAAGAAAACTGCACCGCGGATTTGACAAATTCGATTGACAGTCATTTTCCACACTGAGCAAAATGATCAAAACATATTTACATAATAAATTAAAGTTTACAGCAATCTGACAACACTGGTCCAGATACGACTATTAGGGATGCCAGATTGGAAGACATGCAGTAAATCAAATTTTGAAATTCTGACATTTTTGAAGACATTTTTCATGTTTTCTGAAGATGTTTGAAGCGAGGTTTGAACACATGTTGAAATTGAAGAATACTTTCCAAGGCTTATTTAATTTTAAGTAGATAGGCGAAGCATGAAATGAAGATTTTCCCGCATAAACGCAAAACATTAAACATTTGAGCTTACAAAAATGATTTAAAACAGGGCAGGGCGCGAACTACCATATACGAAGTCCCAGAAGTTTTACGAAGTTCCCTGAATCTCGATGAACATTTCAAATGGTCCTATCTGCTTTGATCGATTCTCTTCATCGACTTTCTCTTTCGTTAATAACTTAGCTGCAAAACCTTTCCCTGTTGTATTTGACGTTTTGGACGCTAGATAAGAACCTCCTTTATCAAACTATATGGTAGAATTAGCGCGAAATCTGTTTGCATAGCAGTGATTATGAAAAGAGAAAGTCGATGAAGAGAATCGATCAAAGCAGATAGGACCATTTGAAATGTTCATCGAGGAATGTCTACACGAAACGAAAATCAAATTTTATTGTCATACCCAAGTAACAATTTCGGTTTTATAAGGGTTCTGTAGACCATGATTTAGACTTGTAGCATGCTTTAAAACCTCCATAAAACTTGAAAAGTTACTTGGGTAACCATCAACCAGTCAGCCATGTAGGTGTAATAGAGTTCAAAAAGGTATCAAATTTCCTCATTGGGTTCCAAATGCCGAGAATCCCACCACGCATGCTATCATGGGTTATTAAATATAAAACGTGAAGAACTACAATGGTAAACATTTGCTGCGTGATTACGGAACTAAAGTCGACGTACACTGTATGTCGATTTGATCAATGTAGGCTATGCAGCGTAAATTTGAAAACCCAGAACCCATGGCTTTTCATTCCCAGAGGTAAGTAATAATTTAGCTGCAAGCTACAGTGTTGGGGGATTCCCCTTTGAACCAGGTGGAAATTCACAGGTTGGTCGGGTTTTATCAGAACTTTTGGTTACTTGGGAATGCAGGAACTTCAGTGACGATCAGATTTTGTTCAAGAAAATCGCGAGATCTTTTAAAATGTTCAGAAATCTTCAAGTGCGTCTAGAGGCCTTCAGAGAAGTTCATATCCAGCATTTTACGAGCGCTTATGGCCGCCACAATCTGGCTGAGTTTTTGGTAGGGAACATATGATTTGACGTTTGGGTTGTGTCGATTGACTGGTAAACGTTCAAATTTGATCGTTTACACGTCAAACGACACAAGCCAAACTTCAAATCTTATGTTCCCTACCAGAAACTCAGCTAGATTGTGGCGGCCATAAGCGATCGTAAAATGCTGGATAAGTTTCATTTATTTAAGGAAAATTGCAGGATATTTCAAGGAATTCAAAGGAATTATGGGATATTTCAAGAATCTCATGAATTTTGCGATACTTCAGAAACAATGCAAGGTCTTCAGGAAATTTTATAAGTATGATTAAAATTTCCGGAACAATAGAAAAATTAATGAACTTTGGGAAAGATTCAAAACTTCATGGAAGTCCAAATAAAACTAGGATTTTTACGCGAATTGTCAACTTTTGTAGATGTTCAAAATCTTCCAGAGAACCACACCTCTACCTGATTACATATGCTAGTCCTAGATCCAAATTGATACATGTAACTACAGAATAAAAGAATCGTGAAGCTCTTCAATCTTTTTTTTATGAATTGATCCCTTTTACGTATGGTCCGGACCTCCCGAAAGACCAGATGGTGGCCAGCAGAGTTCGCATGCTGGTCCCAGATCCAAATTCATTAATGTAGCATCAAAATAAGTGATTTAAAAAAAAAAACAGATCTCTATTGGATCTTTTCTATGATTTGGCCCCCTTTACGGATATTCCGGATCTTTCAAAGGACCGTTCCATGGCCACCAGAGTGCACATACACACAAAAAATTATCGTTAATAAAATTAAAAAAACCATTGATAGAATTAAAAGTTTGCGTTGGTTCTTTTTGGTAGAAAGTCTTTTGCATTCAAAACAAAAGTCGGCCAACTGTCAATTCAAAAGTAGCTCATTCTTTAATTTTAAAAGTTGAAACTTTCAATACGAATTGTAGAACTGTCAATCTAATAGCCTATGGTTTTTAAATTTACTCATTAAAGGTTTTAATTTAAAAGATGTGCATTTTTATCGCAATGGTGTACGTTTTCATCTCAAATATTATTTATTGCTTGAGAAAAATGAAACACATACATATTTTATTTAATTCATTTGAGTTTATTAAAATTTTCAGTCATCACTGAAAGGCCACTGCATTATGGAATCTTCCATTGGAAGTATTTTACACTAATGGTACAATTGATATCTGAATAATTACTTCCTGATGGGCTCGGTGTGGAGACGTGCTTGAAGAAAAGTTCCTGCTTAATGGTGATGGTTGATGGGAGTAGCTTTCCTTTCCGGCAAGACTGACGAGGCTGCTGAAGATCAAAACACATCAATTAGTCAAATCGGAAGCAAGATCGAAAGTCTTCAAAAATTTCATCAACTTACCTCCAAATCCGGCAACTGGAGTATCCTTCCACTCGGTAGTGTCCCCGCGGGTGCCTCCATATTATTATTCGTATCGTAAAGAAGGGAAACTATCGTGCCGGCGGATGAAATATATGAAAAAATAGAATACACTGCTGCTACTCCTGCAAGTTCTCACAGCTGGTTTTGTTTTATTTTTTATTTCCCATGTCAAATTTAGCGGGAAACGGAAGTCCAGTACTGTCAAAAACTACGCAATGAAGAGGTATTTTGACAGTTTTACAACTTTTATTTAAAAAAAATCACTTTTAAAATTACAAGTCGAAAGTGAAAGAAACATTTTTAAACCAAAAATATAAGTTTAATTTTGAAAACTTTCATAGTTGAAACTACGAGGTTGGGAAACTTTTAATTTGATTATGCATTATTTTTATAGCAACAATTTTTGTTCTTTGTGTGTACTGGTTTCAAATCCAAATTCATTCATGCAGCATAACAACAAGTTGATTAAAAAAATCTAGATTCTTTTTTACTAATTTTTCACATGTATACATGTTCCGGGTCTTCCAGAGGAATGCTTTGCTATCCCTTGGTTCTACATTTTTGTCCCAGATCCAAATTCATTCATATATCACAATGTTCAAAAGAAAAACAAAACAAACATTTCATAGATAGCAACGTTTGGGCCGGTAGCTATCGCGCTGCTATATTTGTTAACCCCGAGGGGCGATTGGAAGATTGCCGCAAAAGCTCAACGCAGATGTCGCCACTGCATGATGATGATAATGTTGACAGACTGCATATAAAATCCGTGAAAATTAGCAATAAATCATAATTTTCATAAAGCCTGCGTGACATCCTTCCAATATAACATTCGAATTGAAGAAGAAAACGTTTTTACGAACAGACTGATGTGCATCTTCGAATTTTCCGGGTGAACTTTGATAAGATATATTCATTTCATTTCACGGCTTCATCAATGCTGCATCGTAAATATGATGGTAAACAGAAGTAAATAACTCAATTACTCAAAATAAAGATGATTTTTCATCTTGTTATCACTTTGAAGACCATCTAGCACCATTTTATAGTATGGTGCGTGTTGAGTAAATCAAGTTCCGGTGCGTTTTCCGTCGAAAATTGTGAGTATCAATATGTTTGCTTAAAAAAGGCCAATATGAACATTTATTGAATATTGGCGTCCTATACAACCAATTCTGTATTACCACCAGCATGATACAACCTTTCCTAAGTAAATTCACTTAATTTCCACTTTCATCTTAGTGTAAATCGCACATATTTACCATTTTCTGAAAAATGCAGCTGCGCAGGAGGTAACCTCTCCCTGTGGGTGCAAACTTGTTATGCATAATTTGCCATGAAAAACATCTCCGATCCATACCGAAATAATAACAAATAGTTTTCAAACACGTTTTCTTACACGATTCAAGCAAAAGTTTCCACGGGAAATTATTAGTTTTTCTTTATGGACCGATTTGCCCCAAAAAGCGTCTGTTTTACTTGGAAAATTTGGAAACTATCCTCCTTCTAGTAGTTCTCACTTCGAAATGTAGGTGGCGAAAGCTTGGAAAAGTTTCACTGCAAGACGCCAATTCACTTGTGTATTTTCGATTCAGGCCAACGTATTGATGAACGTATTGAAGTATTTTTTTATCGAATAAACGTGTATTTTGTGTAATAATGTTTTTTTTTTTTTGTATTTTTTGAATATATGCATTTTTTTGTGTATTAGAAAAATAAAAGTGTATTTGTATGCATTAATGTATTGAAAATCAGATATAAGTGTATTCTGTCATTTCAGTGTTTATGTTTACCACTCGAACCGAGGATCAAACGGATCAAACTCACAATGTTGACGTTTTGTTTGACAAATGCACAACACACGTGAACATTGAAAACTCGGAATTTCACCCATTTTAAAGAAAAGAGGCTTAACTCATTAAATACGTAGACAGTTTTTTTGGGTTTCCTCGCCCTCCCCCTCCCCCCCTTATAAACCTGCGTAGACAAATGTCCCCTTAATTGTCTACGTAGATTATGAACAGCCCCTTACCTCGCTCATTACGCATTAATAAGCATCTGTTACATTACGCTACATCTGTTACATTACGCTACATCTGTTACATTACGCATTAATGAATTATCGCTATTTATTTGTGGCTCACAACTACTCAAAATGTTTTTTTTTTTATTTAATAAATGATTTAAGGCACTTTTCTTAAAAATGGGCGAAATTCTGCTCATTAATGCATTGTTTTGTGATTCAAGCTCGGATTAAAACACAAAATAATAAATTTTCGCATTTTGTTCGAATTCAGCATTTTGATTGTACATATTTTCGATTTTTTCGTGCAAAATGACGAATTATCGTGTATTTTTATTATTCGTCGAATATTTTTGTATTTTTTTCCGAATTTTGTATTTTTTGCATTTTTTTGAATAATGACGAGTAATGATGAATTTTTGTGCATTTTTTTCATTAACGTATTTTCGATTCATTCTCGAGAGCAGTGAATTGCCCCTCGGTTAACCCGCTGTTCACCGAGAGGCAGATTGTTATTTCCCGCACTTGAATACAACCCCCAGTGCGGTTACTGAGTTTTGGTGGAGGTTGCTAAAATAGCTTTAGCAACGCATTGGTGTGGGTGCTCTTAGGACCTAATGCAGAATGTTCAGCTTGATATTTATTATGTGAATAAGAAATTTTCGTCGATCTCTGAGAATATTTTTTTTTTCTAAATACACCTGGCATCCCTGACGACTACGCACCAACAAGGTAATGGAATCGATTATTTTCGTTAACTGGACATCCCCAAACTATGTCATTTGACGTATATATAATTTATGTTTGTCAAGAGTCTTCAAAATTTTCTAATCTTTTCGGCATCAATTTTGTGTTTGGTTTGTTTGTCCTGTTAAAAATATATTAAAATTTAGTATATTTACATACTTCATAGTTCAAAATGAGTGTGGAGCCAGAGGGTATGACCAGTTGGGCGCAACCTTATGAAAACTCCGAGCCAGGTTTGAACCTTTTACCTTTTGAGTTTTGTAGGAATCCATCGCATACGTAACTCAACCTTTTGTTGTATTAGAAAGCATTTGCATCAAAGAGGAGCCTCTGTCGGATTGTGACCTCGGCGATGAAGCCTCTCCTGGACGTTCGAAGAAACGGGAAAAACCGACTTCCTTTGGCATGGCCTTTTGTGTCCTGTGTCTACGGGAGTGCACCTCGGATGTGCTAGTACGATTCTCAGCTCAGTCGAAACGCAATCATGTTGACGTAACCGAGGGTCAACGGAAGCTGGAGCAGGTCCTAGGACTCTCCATGGCATTGGATGATGGTGTGGTCTGTCGAACCTGTTGGAAGTTGGTGGACATTGTGGGGGATTTTCGGGAATCTTGCCTCAAATCCGCCAGTTGGATCGAACGATTTTCTCGGGGAATGCAGTATGAGGCCGAAATTGATAGTTGGCTTTCGCGTGATGTATTCAACTCGATGGAGGCGATGCACAAAGGTATTCAGGATAATAGGAATCGTATCGAGCTGGAGGAAGTCATTGCTATGAATCCTCCGGAGATCAAAGTCGCCAGGAAGGGTCGGAAGAAGCCCGTGGTGAAAATGAAAACTGAGGTCCAGATGGAGGGTTTATCCGACGACGTGGATGTTTCGGACAGTGAAAGGTAAACGGTCAGTCGATTTTTCTTGAGTGGATTATATGTTCATAATCATTTTCAGTTCTTCCAAAGCCACCCTGAATCCTGCTGTGGCACTGCTGGGGGATGACAATCACAATCCATCGATTCTGGCGTGTGAAAAATGCGGTCGAAAAATCGACGGCATAACGGCACATCGAATGCACGTGGAACGCTGTGTCAACGCGAAGAAGCCAAATTACCACACTTGTACGATTTGTAATGCCACGTTCAAGGAACTGAGCGGGCTGAGATTTCACATGAACAAACACAATGGCGTGAGGCCGTTCAAGTGCCGCAAGTTTTGCGACCGGACATTTTTCAGCAACTTCGTTCGGATCAAGCACGAAAGGGGCATCTGCGAGGTGGATGGACGCATTTGTTCGACTTGCGGTGCCCATCTGAAGAATGAGTTTTCCCTGAAAAAGCACATCGAAAGGGTCCACGGTGAGGCCAAGCATGTCTGTGCGACGTGCGGAAAGGCGTTCCGATCGAGGTGAGTGTGTCGATGTGTGGATTGTTTGTTAATTGAGTACCGTTTCAATAATATGTTTTGTTATTGTGCAGTCTAAGCCTTCGGACCCACCAGCGGGTGCACTCGGACGAACGGAAGTATCCCTGCAAGATTTGTGAAAAAGCCTACAAGTCACCGTACGCGGTTAAGGTTCACATGAGAATTCACACGCAGGAGAAACCATACGCATGCCATCTCTGCGAGCAGGTTTTTAACTATAAGGTCAGCATGAAGAGTCACATCGAACGCCATCATGGACAAACGGGATAGAGAGGATTGCGATTAAAAGATGATGCAAGGTAAGAACATTTGTCGGGCTGAATCTTTGAAGAACGGAAAAGAAATCCTCAATGCTGAATAATGGTAGTTTGTTTTTCCGTTGAAACCTAAGGAAACGCCATTCAAAAGCCAGAAAGAAGATTGAATCATATCTTCTAGAACAGCTTTAAACATTTGGGGAGATTTTTTTGTTTTGTTTTAAGGCAGCGGCGTCGTGTGCCTCATTTGTTTACCTGTGCACCAAACTTTTAGCGAATTCGTTTATTATTCAGTTCCAACCTGGATCGGGTATCAAGATTGGGTCTGCTTGTTTTCTGACAAACGTCAGTTTGCTCGTGTTTTTAAAACCTAGCTCAGGTTGAGGTTCACACTGACAAAAAGTTCGGTTTCGCACTGGGTTGGAACTGGTGTTAACCCCGATAATAAACGAATTCGCTATTTGTTCGTATAGTTTACCCAGTTTACCACTACATTAGTTTTTGGTTTATTTTTCAATGCTCCATGAATTCGAGGGACATATAGACGAGTGCACGGATGGATTTAAGTTCACTCACTCGACAAAAAGTGACACAACAGCGGGGCCCTGTTTACTAAAAATGAGCACATGAATAATGCTCGCGTAACATATGAAAGGGTCTATCAAGTTTTGTAAATAATTTGCTAGGTCCTTTACACGAGAATCAAAATACGCCCACGCAAACCAAGAGCACTATCGGGAAGGGAAGAATGTCCTCTCCCGATGGTGTTGTTAGTTTGCGTGAGCGTGGTACAACGGTACTGCCAACAATCAATACGAAACTAACGATTTTAAATTGGCTCACCACTTTAGTAGCCTATTGGTCCCAAGCAAACGATTAACGTACCCTATTCTAGTTGAAATTCTATTACTACACTATGTTTGTTTTGATTCGCTATGAAAGTTTGACAGATAACATCAGGGGTGTGTGGATTCATGCAGAACATGCAGGGGTGAGTGAAATAGCTTGGGACTGCTTGGGACCGTTGTTCTGGTACTGAGTGAGCCAAAAATAATAATGATTTTCTTCGGGACCCAGTGGTCTTAGAGTTGCCTCTATGGTACTGCTTTGTATGTCTGTCAATGGTATAAGTGGTTCGTGGATCAGCGGCAAGTATCGGTTGGAGATTTGGTGTTCGTGGCAGATGGAGAGAAGCGAAACGTCTGGGAGCGAGGCGTGGTGAAGAAGGTATTCGTTGGGAGTGACGGAAGAGTCCGTAGCGAAGCTAGCCGTTCTGGAGGTGAAGGAACAATCCCCGTACTGTTCCTGATGCAACCAGCCACAGGGTTTACGGGTGGGGGAATGTTGCCGTTGCAGTCAGACCTGAAAGGGTTGCGGTAGGATAACTACCGTAAACGCGCCCCATTTGATGCGACCGTTTTTGACGTTTCTTGCCATTCACTATCGCACCGCTTGTGTATTTACACAAAGGTGCGATAGTGAGTGGGATACGCTGAACATGGCCGTCGCTTTCGCACTACTTTGTTTGTTTACCCCAGCAGCTGGCTTGGAAAGAGGATAATATAAACTCCATCACGATAGATGTGTTTTTTTGTTGCGAATTATGTTTTGTGCCGATTATTGTACCAAGTAAGTAGTGTAATTGTAGTTTAATAGTTTATTTGTAGCTTTTAAAATATTGTGAAATCGTAGATTGTTCGCCACTGTAGTACCACAAACGAAGTGACAGACGGAGCGGCTCGAAAACTTTGGTGACTAACCTGCTATTGTAATTTTTCAGTGTACCACATGGCAACACCACTACTAGATTGAACTAGCATTTTCACCAAATGTACTAGAATGTTTTGGTTCTATCTCTTTCACTCTACTCAAAACTGAAATGCATAAAAAAATGACAAAATGATACGCACTCTTTGCACACTGTCAAAGAATCATTGTACACAAAATCAACTTTGTTCAAATCAAAACAAAAAAACTAACCCATCTGGTGGATGATGGCACAAGCTTCCAAGAAAATTCTATTACAGTGAACCACATTATTTAAATGGATTTCTTCGCCAGTTAGTCGTCTGTCACTTCGTTTGTGGTAGTACCAACAATCAATATGAAACTAACGATTTAAAATAGCTCACTACTTGACTAGCCTATTGTAAAGCCCTACAGTAAAAGTATGGACGTCTGTCAAAAGTTGTTCCAATCGAACCGTCAATATGCACCGCTTTGCTCGATTGGAACAGCTTTAGCCTATTGGTCCCAAGCAAATCTATTAACGTACCCCATTCTAGTCGAAATTCTAGTACTAGACTATGTTTGGTTTGATTCGTTATGAAAGTTTGACAGATAAAATGAGGGGCTCGTGGATTTTTCTATGCTTCGAGGGGTGCATCGATTAGCTTAGGACCGAAGATAGTACCAGAGCTGACCCAAAAAGTTGAGCACGTTTCTTCGGGACCTTCTTGTCTTACACTCAAAAAATTCCACACGTCATCATCATGTGCCTTACACTTAATTTTGCGCTTATTGTGAAACACATCCATTTCATGTGTGAATCTTATGCTATGAATCATGCCTGAACACTATGGATTTGAATGGTGACAAACTTGGATTCTATGTGCCTCATTTGGTGATATCAATAGCTTTGCACTTCATAGTTCAATATTCTACAATATTCTACTTCTACTTCGACTTCTACTTTACCGACTCTAAAATGAATCGACAAAAATATAAACAAAACTGCCAGAGGCCAGAGATTTCACATATCTTTTTAATGGGTCCGATTTGAGATTCGATTATGGACTTTTGGGGTGTGCTGCTGCTGGAGTCTTCGTTCGATCTCACTGTGCCACGGTTGTTCTCATATATCAGGCGGGTTGATATAGGATAAAGTCACAAGTCTTGTTTTCGATGTTTATCTTTCTGAGCAAGCAATTCACATCGCATTGAAATGCAAAACACGTTAAATCCATCTGTTTTTCAACATTTCAAAATTTGAAACACTATAAATTAACGTGTATAACACATTGAACCAATGTGAAATTCACTTAAAGTAAATGTGATTGTGCATTTAAAAAATCAAGTGCTGAAACACTTTGATCGAACGTGTGGAATTTTTTGAGTGTAGCTCTATGGTAGTGTCTTTTATTTAATTAATTGATAGGACCTCGCTGAGCCCGCCGAAAGTAGATTGGCATTGAGGAGTTGCAGTAGACGTTGAAAAACTAAATTGTAAGTTGTCGATTGTAAGTTTGTTTAATGTGATTAGTTTGTTAATTTTGAATATAGGCCCCAATTATGTAAGTCGAGTCGAGCGTCACTCGACTCGACAGACACTCGACAGGACTATTTTGGTATTATGCAGCAGTCGACTCGACGCGACGCTGTCGAGTAGCTCGACTGAATCAGTCACTCGTCAGGTAGTGACTCATATCTCACTCACATTCTGTCGAGTTGAGTTTGTTGTTATTTTCCCGCGTTAGCTTGCTTGGTGTGAGACATTGTAGTGTTTTTTCTACAAATTTTCTTAACGAGGTAAGAGTTTTAATTAAAACCCATTAAAACTACCAATTACATTACTCGCCAGAAATCTAAGCGATGCACATATTTTCAAGACTGGTGCAATAGCCGTATTCCTATACGTCAACTTGAAACTGTTTTTGATTAAATCTACCAGATACAAAATCGCCTCCTTATTCAACCTGTAAAATTTCACGCAACTGAAAGGAAAAAAAGGTTGTTCAATTGAAATGTAGCATTCACACACCAAAACGAAAAAAATCTGATTTACAGTAAAACCAAAGATAAATACTAAGATGAAACTGTCGGATGAAAAACTTTTAATTTTAGTGTCCTCTTTCACGGTCCCTTTCATCCAATGAATACCCCCAGTATGCAAGGTAATTTTGTGGTTTTGCTGCCCCCTCGGTACAGATGAAATTTTGCGCGCTTTTTTATCAAAACAATCACACCAAAATCAGAGATGTCCCATTTTTTTGATTATTCGATTAACAACTAATCGATTATTTTTTGTTCGCTGTGATGTCATTTTTCCACCAATGAGAGTGCAGCACATGTTTGAAACGATCTGTGATGATCCTCTGGAGAAGTTAATGCTTATATCGGCATGATATAACTGATTACAAATATTTTACTTTTCGGTTCGTTAATCGATTATTCGATCATTCGAATGAAAATCGGCCATCACTAGATGAATGTGAAACGTCATTTCAAATATAAGGACCGTACATAAATAATGATACAATTTGAAAGGGACCGGGACTAATCACAAATTACGTCCCCACGGTAACTGCAATAAACACGAGTGTTCACCGGTTGGTAAAACGTTGCGCAGATGTTCGTTATCACCCAATGCTGCATTTTTCATTGAGATCTTTTTACCCTTCTTCCAAAGAAGGTTAACCCTTTCCTTCCCATGGTAGCACAGGTGATCCATAACTTTTTTGACTTCCTCATGTTTGTCAGCGTGCCATTAAATAGGCAATACTTATCTAACCCTATTCGTATGGCCATTATATTCGACCATACATGGTTTTTGGAATCCAACTGGTCAACTATTGAAAAACAATTAAAATACTATTTATTTTAACCAAAAACTTTTTTTTATGGATTTGGTTATATGCAACATTTTTTGTTCCAGCACTTTTCTAAGGAACGCATATTTGTATGTCAAAACTATCAAAAACCGTGTGGGAAGGAAAGGATTAAGGTACACCGGGGCAAGTGAGAATAAGTAGTTATTAAGGATTGTTACTGCAGATTCCCGCCTGACCTAGTTCAGGGCAATTGAAGGTATGGGCTATACCTTCACATTCCCTGAACTAGGCCAAGCGAGAAATTGCGGTAACAATCCTTAATAACTACCTATTCTCACTTGCCCAGGTGTACCTTAACCTTCTTTGAAAGAAGGGTAAAAAGATCTCAATGAAAAATGCAGCATTGGGTGGTAAAGAACATATGCGCAAACATCGATGCAAATCGGAAATCATCATATCCAACCGATTTGCGATTTGGGCTAGAAATGCTCAATGATCAAATCTTCTACACTAGTATCATAGAGGTAACTCTAAGACCACTGGGTCCCGAAGAAAATCATTATTATTTTTGGCTCACTCAGTACCAGAACAACGGTCCCAAGCAGTCCCAAGCTATTTCACTCACCCCTGCATGTTCTGCATGAATCCACACACCCCTGATGTTATCTGTCAAACTTTCATAGCGAATCAAAACAAACATAGTGTAGTAATAGAATTTCAACTAGAATAGGGTACGTTAATCGTTTGCTTGGGACCAATAGGCTACTAAAGTGGTGAGCCAATTTAAAATCGTTAGTTTCGTATTGATTGTTGCTAGTATTTACTAGAGTCGGTGTATAATGAGTCACGCCAAGAGAAAAACAGTTGAACTCGCATCACGGTTTCCGAAGGATTCCCTTTCTTCTCACTTGGCAACAGAGGACTTCTACATCAACTTTAAATGACTTCTAGCGAGAACCAAAAATAAGGGCTGTAGTGAATCATAATATCAGTGATTTTGTCAAATTATCTTATCAAAAAATAGTAGAAATTCTCATTACTGATCAAAACCAAAGGTATCCCATGACCATTTAATGCTCACTGCGTGTTTATGATGATTTCTTCAATTTTATTTTATATTTCATTGCAATACCTTTCGTAGACCTTTCATAGCATCGTAATGTTTATTTACTTTGCACGATAGGTAGCCGATTTGACAGTTCAATAGGTAGACTTGGCTTCACTCTTGGCGTGACTCATTATACACCGACTCTAGTATTTACTTACTCATTGTCTGATAACGACATTGGATTTGAAGTATCGCGAATATTTCTACGCATTATAGAAATATTAACCAGCTCCTCTTGGTTATCCTCGTCTTCGTAAAAAAAATCAACACTTGTCCACATCGTTCTCTGGTAGTCAAAAAAGATTGCGACTAACTGGAAGACTACTGAGACTTATTTTAATCGTGGTTTCAATACAGGATAAAGAATCACGACTAGAACCAAAGATCCGACAACTTACGATAATAGCAACAATCAATACGAAACTAACGATTTTAAATTGGCTCACCACTTTAGTAGCCTATTGGTCCCAAGCAAACGATTAACCAACAATCAATACGAAACTAACGATTTTAAATTGGCTCACCACTTTAGTAGCCTATTGGTCCCAAGCAAACGATTAACGTACCCTATTCTAGTTGAAATTCTATTACTACACTATGTTTGTTTTGATTCGCTATGAAAGTTTGACAGATAACATCAGGGTGTGTGGATTCATGCAGAACATGCAGGGGTGAGTGAAATAGCTTGGGACTGCTTGGGACCGTTGTTCTGGTACTGAGTGAGCCAAAAATAATAATGATTTTCTTCGGGACCCAGTGGTCTTAGAGTTAACTCTATGATAATAGTACGTTCAGACTACAGAGTTATAACATGTTATAGTGCTATCTTGATGGTGGTTTCTGTGTTGCAATTATTTGACAACCGTTATAACATGTTATAACTCTCCAGTCTGGACAGCGTTTAACAGTTGAACCATAGAGGTAACTCTAAGACCACTGGGTCCCGAAGAATATCATTATTATTTTTGGCTCACTCAGTACCAGAACAACGGTCCCAAGCAGTCCCAAGCTATCTCACTCACCCCTGCATGTTCTGCATGAATCCACACACCCCTGATGTTATCTGTCAAACTTTCATAGCGAATCAAAACAAACATAGTGTAGTAATAGAATTTCAACTAGAATAGGGTACGTTAATCGTTTGCTTGGGACCAATAGGCTACTAAAGTGGTGAGCCAATTAAAAATCGTTAGTTTCGTATTGATTGTTGGTTGAACCACAAGCTGAATGCCATTAAAATACTTGAAATCCACCATGAAACCTCAACTTCGTTAATAACAAAAATTACACGAACTTCAATATTGTTACAAAAAAATCTTCAACGGAACAACAAAAACAAACTTGAATATTATTAATCATTAAAAATATTGATCGTTATCTGTCAAAAAATGACATGACGCTAGCGTTTTATGGCCAATTCAATCTGATTCAGTCGACTTCCATAATGCCTATTTTTGCTACACTCGACAGCCACTCGACGGCGTCGAGTGTCGAGTTACTCGACGAGAGTGTCGAGCTACTCGACGAGAGTGTCGAGCTACTCGACACTCGACGCTCGACTCGACTTACATAATTGGGGCCATAGTTTAGTTGAGTTTGTCCGTCAAAAGACCTACTTGTGAAAATCGTTTTTCATTCGCACCGGAGAAGTGCGAACATTACCGATTTCAAGAAGAATGGGAAGGAGACCTTACAATATATGTATATACCTTTTCCCGATCAAAAAATCTGCATATCTGTATATACAGAATCTTGGTTTTTGTCAAAACAAACTTCACGGTAAATGAGACTGACTCAACGGTACTCAACGTTAACTCAAACTCGCAAAAAAAAATCTCACACATTCGAACCGGTCTGCAAGTATGATACACGTCCAAAGCATACCAGACTGCTGTTTCCGTGTTGCTCCCGTTTGAAGCGTAGCTGCTGAAAGCTTCAATTACAACTAGTGGTGCATACCGCCATGTATTGTTGAAAATTTGGTGGTATGTTTCAAGAGGTGATAGAAGGTCTGCTTGGCTTACATCAGGCATTTGACCATTCACAAACTTGCCACCCGCCACCTAAAAAAGCTCGCTTTTAGTTGCACTATTTAACGACTATTGCACTATTTAATTTGTCATGGTAGTGTGATATCGACATGCCTAGAAATCAATGCATTAGGGATTAGGCAGACCATCCGAACTGAATTTAATCCTTTTTGAAGCAAACCAATGTCGAAGATTTAATTGAACCGCACTATAAAATAGTCATGTTCATGGTCACTTGTGGTCTGGAGTAAAAAACTACAGCTATAATGTGACCATCAAATCTATAAAAATCTAAACGCATTTTTTTAAAAATTATTTACACCTGTGTCGTGCACAGGTTGCACATGTGGACGCGACGCCACTGTTTTAAGGACTCCTTATCAGATTTCATTCCTGTCCCAAGAAGGATTAATTGAACTTTCCCTGATTGATGCTTTCAAAAAATTGCCTCAATATTTTTTTTCCTGTCATACTGCGAACCATCGAAATTTGTTTTGATTCTATTGCTAGAATATATCCTTAACATTTCTTAGAAGTAGTCATCCTAAGATACCTTTCTAGGCATCTGGGAATTTGCTGAATGTCTTTTGACTCTATAAGTCTACCTTAATATCGACCGATTAATACTGATTTAACATTAAAACATGAAGGCAGAATTGTTTATTTTTAGCGGCGCCGGTGGTGTAAGCGTGATTGCCTCTCACTCCAGCAGAGTAGAGTTTGAAATGTATGGTGTACCTATATTTATTTAATTTTTCATATCTGATCTTTTTGAAATTTACGTTGGTAGTTCAAATATTCAATTTTTCTCTCTCTATTGTATTTGGATTCTGTTCTTATGGTATTTTTTGTGATTTTCGTTGAGTAGGAATCAAATTCAGATTACTTTCAATATTATTGATATTTTTCTTTATAAGTGCAGTCTCGTATCTACATGTTTCTGATTATGTAATCGCAAAACTAGCTGAAAAGCTACAGCGACCTAGTGAGCACCATAGCTCGAGTCGTCTGTTAGTATTGTGTACTATATGAAGAGCCCAACCTAGATATTAGCCTATTAAGACTGCAGTTGGTAAACTCTACTACAACAACATAACTATCATCTTCACTATAGACTAAATAATCCTGAACTTATCGATTAGGAGCTGTTTACAAACTACGTTGAAATTTGTTTAAAGATGCAAGAAATGTTTACCCTTTCTACCGCTGCATGGATAATCATTAGTACAAATCTTAAAACAGATAAAGGACCATATACCCTCAAACATTCCCCATCCTTCATTCCGCACGTAGTATATATCCAGAACAACATGTGAAAAGGGCATACAAGCTTTTTGTAAACAAACCTTTGTAGGCCCTTTCCTCACCAACCGAGGGTCGCCCACGCAAACCAGCAATATCATCGGGAAGGGGAAAGTGTCCCCTACCCGGTGATGTTAAAGGTTTGCGTTGGTGTCATATGGGTGGCGAGAAAAGGGCATAAGAAGGTTTGTTTACAAAAAGCTTGTATGCCCTTTTCACATGTTGTTCTGGATATGACGATAAAAATATTATATTTTTAGTTATGTTTGTGATGTCCTGGATAATGAATTTGGCCTAAGTAAATAAACGAGCTAATTAAAAAAAAAAGCAGTACAATATTATGATTTAATATAAATTAAACAATAATCAATCAATGGCTTCATAGGTATCAGAAAGATAAGATCGCACATTAGAGGGAATGCAATCAGCATCCCAAAATTTACTAAATATGTGATTTTCAGCCAAATTCTGATACGTTTCAGGTTTTGTCCGACTTTTGTATGGAGGCCCGCCATTGTGCAACGCAGTTCTGCCGCTATTCGCATAACAGTCCTGTGCTATGTCCTATAGATTTCCAACCTGCATGCGAATGCGAACAGCGGAAGTGCTGTTTCACTCAATTTCATCCTCCAGTACTATTATTCGATCCATGGTGCCGCGCGATGTGATTCTTCAGGCTGACCTTATAGTTGAAGGCATGCTCGCACAGGTGACAGGCGTAGGGCATCTCCTGCGTGTGGATGCGCTTGTGAACCTTGAGCGAGAACGGTGCCTTGAAAGCTTTGTTGCAAACCGTGCAGACGTAGTTGCGCTCCTCCGAGTGGACACGATTGTGCAGGAGGTGGTTTTTCCTGTAAGAGTAGAATTTTAAGCCACCATTTATCGGGTCAATGTTCCAATCATCATCTATCTTACGAGCTTCGGAACTTCCGTCCACAGATGTTGCAGGTGTACTTAGCTTCGCCGTGCACGTTTTTCGTGTGCTTCCACAGGGACCCCTCATTCTTCAGTTGCATCCCGCAAATGTCGCAAATTCGGCCTTCCTTTTCGCAGTACTTCCGCTCGTGCTTGATCCGGGTGAAGTTGCTGAAGAAGGTGTTGTCGCAGAATTTGCGGCACTTGAACGGCCGAATGCCTTTGTGCTTGTTCAGGTGGAATGTCAGTCCGGATTTTTCGATGAACGTGGCCGTGCAAATTGGACAGGAAAAATATTTTTCCTTCGACGGCGAATCGAAGCTACAGTGGGTCTTGTGTATCCGGATGGCGTGACGACCATCAAAGTTTCTGCCACACATTTCGCATGTAAAAATGTTTACCTTATAATCGCCTTCCTCCAATGGGACAGGTTCTGTTGCGTTGGACGTCGTAGGATTAGAGCTATTAAAATTAAAGATGTTTGAACAAACGAAAGTTGAAGAAACATTTTTATACAAACTTACGGCTCAATTTTAGGTTCTTTTTGAGCTTCATTGGAAACAGAAGTGACTTCAACCATTTCAGTATTTTCCGGTTTCTTCTGCCGTTTTGCCCTATTCTGGCGAGCAGCCTGCTTTATTTTGGTTTCTTTCCCATCAAGTTGGTCCACATGCTTCCGAACCATTTGACGCTTCAGCTCGATTGCATTCAGCGTACTCTCGGCCATCCACTCGTCATTCTGCTGGTCGTAGTCCAGTCCCATGAGGAATACCTTCAGCTTCTTGGTAGCCTTCTCACAGCACTGCCTAAAGTCTGTGATCAGTTCGATCAGCTTCCAGCAAGTGGGACACATGGCGCGATATTGCAGTTTTATGAGTATACCCAGTGCCTGAGCCAGCTTATGCTGTGCCTCGGTAACGTCGATGGCATTCGGCTCACGGTTGGAGCAAAATGTAACCTCCGATCCCGGTGGACATTTCCGCAAACATAGGATGCAGACAATGGAACCACTGATGCTGGGTGGGGCATGGGACTTTTTTGTTCTTGGCTTTTTCTTAACCAGCAGATCTTCCAGAAGTGATTCATCAACTTCAGATAGACCGTCCGAAAGGCGTTCCTCTTTGATGTCAAGTTCTTCCGCTGGAGAAAAAAAAAAACATAATTATTATTGGAACCGAACATGTATAAACACTAATAGGGAATTCCTTTACCTTTATTACCGGGTGTGAAACCGAACTTTTTATCAGTGCTAAACTCAACCTGAGGTAGGTTTTAAAAATAATTTTAATGACGTTCGACCCAATCTTGGTACCCGCTCCAGGTTGGAACTCAATAATAAACGAATTCGCTATAAGCTGTATTTCAAAAATAGGTATAAAATCCTGCTTTACCTTCGATATTCATTGAAGCAATTCCTTCTGCATCGTTGTTGAATGGATATGACATGGTTTGTCCTCAGATCTTTTTTTTTATTTTAGGTAGGTATGTATTTATTGACCGGGTAAAACTTTGAAGCAATCACTACAACTCAAGGGAAACCGCGTAGCATGTCCGAAAGGTCTAACTCGAAACGTAAACAATGACTTGGATAGTCGGTTTCTTACGAATGACTACACACGCAACCAGAGCTGCCAGGTGATTTTATAAAAAATCTGTATCCACTCTATTAAAAAATCTGTATTTTCTGTATTGACGATTTTTTTCCTAATTAATCATGTTTTGTTGTTTTACAAATACAGTGCATACAAAATAACCATAAAAAGTGCTTAACCACCTATTCGGGCTATCGTACTAACCATACGGGATATAATTGCGCCATTTGTGATATCGTCCGTACTTATTTATAAGAGTGATATTGAGCCGTTTGAAAATGTATGGAGATTTTAGTTTCTATTCATTATCTTCCTGATAAGCAGTTTTAAATGCAAAAAAGTGCACGAGTTCATTACTATTTGATATTTTTAATATAGATGAATACAATTAATTACATCATTTGTGTGGTAGTTACACCGAAAAGTCGAGAGATGTCGCCCCGCCAGTGCTGGTAAAATCATTTTTGCAGTATGGAGAATATCAGAAAATCCAAAATTTCTTACGAAATACATTTTCAATGCAAGTAAAATGTTTACGAGTACTTGTATTTGTACCATTTTAATGTGCTCGGGCACTTTTCTTGTATTTAACATACATGCTTATATTGGAAATATTCAATTAATACTGTAAATCCCCATGCAATCAAAAAGGTTATTTTGTTTTTATAAATTTTAAATTTTTTTTTTCTCAAGCATTTTATAAAAATCTGTATAAATCTGTATTGTTATTTAAAAATCTGTGATAAATCTGCATTCTGTATCGGGTCTGTATTAAGATTAAAAAATCTGTATAATACAGATAAATCTGTATAAATGGCAGCGCTGCACGCAACACACCCACTCAAACTATAGTCGCTATATTCATAGTCTGGCGGATAGAATCTCGGGAACTAAAATGTCCCGAAGTTTTGATCAATCTGGGTGGATTTTACCTAAATTTGAATAGTTTTGAAATAGCGTGTAGTCAGATTCCGTGTGCACTGTAACTGGCGAGTACCCATTAATGGGTGAAAAAGTACCCATTTTGTGGTAGTGTATGGACCTGCGTAAATGAAAATTTCAAATAGTGGGTACTTTTTCACCCATTTCCGAAACCTGTTCAGGGATCAAAAATGGGTACATATTTACCCATTATTGGGTGAAAAATATCTTTGTTGCACCATAACGTTGCTGACATACTTGGTTTACATTTTCGAGTGCATTTGTTCCGAAAACTACAAAAAGTGATATATATGAATAGTTTAAAGAATGGTGATAGCTTCAAAAAGCTTCAAGGTAAAAAATGCTATATGATTTGAATGATTTCTTAGCTTATAACGTTGTTAAAAGCATATTTGTTTCATTCCACAAATTTGAGTCCCATAAATACATTTTAAAAAATGGGTACTTTTTTACCCAGTTACGGAAAACAATGCGTTCTGGAAATGGGTAAAAAGTACCCCATGATTTGACGTATAAGCTCTTTACCCATTAGTGGGTAAAGACGTTTTACCCATTTTATGAGTTTACCTACTTTACCGCGAAATGGGCACTTTTTCACCCATTAATGGGTACTTTCCAGTTACAGTGTGGGTGTGTGGTCATTCAAGAGAAATCGACGTTCAAATTCATTGTTTACGTTTCGAGTTATACCCGTGTGACATGTTTCCCCTGAACTTTCGAATTCTCGATTACTTTTTCGAAGGGACGTATCAGCTTTTGTAAACAATGCATTTGATCGTCGATTTGACGTAACTGGTAGCTTGCCCACGCATGTTAACACTAACATGAGATAGGGAAACTTTCCCCTACCTGATAGTGGTGTTAGTGTGCGTGGACGAGCTATCAGTTACGTCAAATTGACGATCAAATGCATTGTTTACAAAAGCTGATACGTCCCTTCGAAAAAGTAATCGAGAATTCAGCCGCATCGATTATTAATGAATTCGTAAACAGAAAACAGCTGTTATAAAATTGGTGATGTCAATTGACAGTTGTAGATCGATGCTTAAAGCCAAAGTATATTAAAGCACAGGTGTAATATTCGCTACAATGTTGACGTAGTGGTACATGCATGTATTAGAGTCGGTGTATAATGAGTCACGCCAAGAGTGAAGCCAACCCTAATAAAAATTGTATGGTTAATTTGCTTAACGACGTGTTCTGGGTATCATCCAAACCATTTGTGGAATAGTTCAATGATTTGGGTTGTCGTTCGTTTATGGTTATTTTTTATTAGGGAAGTCTACCTATTGAACTGTCAAACCGGCTACCTATCGTGCAAAGTAAACAAGCATTACGATGCTATGAAAGGTCCACGAAAGGTATTGCAATTAAATATTAAATATAACCGAAGAAATGATCATATACACGCAGTGAGCATTACATTTGTTATGCGATACGTTTTGTAATGATCAGTAATGACAATTTCTACTATTTTTCCTTAAGATAATTCCACAAAATCACTGATTTAATGATATACTACAGCCGTTATTTTTTTCCTCGCTAGAAGTCATTTGAAGTTGATGCAAGTTAAAAGAAAGGGACTCTGTTGCCAAGTTAAAAGAAAAGGAATCTTTCGAAAACCGTGATGCGAGTTCAACTGTTTTTCTCTTGGCGTGACTCATTATACACCGACTCTAGCATGTATATAGATTATATTATATCAGGCATAACATTTGATAACGGCACAAAAGCATTTGTAAACAAACTTTCTAAGGCCCTTTACACGCGAACCAAAGTACGCTCACGCAAACCAACAACATCATCGGATAGGGGCAACTATCACCTTTCCGAAAGTGGTATTGGTTTGCGTGGGCGTACTTTGGTTCGCGTGTAAAGGGCCTTAGAAAGTTTGTTTACAAATGCTTTTGTGCCGTTATCAAATGTTATGCCTGATATATAGATTCTATAGATTCCATAGATAAGTGGAGACACAAAAAGGTTTTTTTTTGCAACCATGAAATAAATGATCTTACTGGCAATGTGCATGCCATCATAGAGGTCTTCGTTGTGCAGTTTTGTTTTGTTTTATTATCTGCGCAAAAGTTCAAAATGAAGTACAAAGCAAATCTTTGCAACAATTATTCGAGGAATTGTTTGCCTAATATTTCCTTTCCGTTTGTTCTCATAATATTATTATAATTCCGCTACAAAAACATCATGATGACGTCATGCTCCTTTGGCTACACTAACTGCCAGTTCGTTGGGCTACATTCTACTTTACATCCGCTTATCTATGGAATCTACACTGAGAGCAGTTGCGGAACTAGCTGAAAATACTATATTGAAGGGTTGTTTCAAATACATAACACCATTAAATTTGTGCAGACTACATCTGAAATTGATTACAAAACTGAAAAACAATCATGTCAATACGTAGAGTAAAAACTACTATGCTTCATAGTGCTCTTGACAATCATTAATAGTTAATAGTTCAACCACCGACAAACCGATATGACACTTAGTTCTGACTTATGCCCGAAAATCGTAAACGAACGAATTAAATGTACAGTGGTCTGAACTGTCAAAACCATAGGATTTTTTGATCTTGATAAAAATAATATGTCCAGAATAGATCAGACACGAACCAATTCATAACTTTTGCATGCGAGTTCATGGCTTAGCTAAATATTTCCCGCGAACACGGAGCCAGATGTCAGTAGTGTGCCTTGATCAGAAATTTTATTGTTTTTGCTATGGTCATTCATGTCGGTTTGTCGGTGGTTCAACCAACAATCAATACGAAACTAACGATTTTAAATTGGCTCACTACTTGACTAGCCTATTGGCAAATAGGCAAACGATTAACGTATCCCATTCTAGTCGAAATTCTAGTACTACGCAATGTTTGTTTTGTTCGCTATGAAAGTTTGACAGATAAAATGAGGGGTTATTGGTTTTTCCTATGTTTAGAGGGGTGAATCGATTAGCTTGGGACCGAAGAGAGTACCAGAGCTGAGCCAAAAAATTGAGCACGTTATTTCGGGACCTTCTAGTCTTAGAGTTACCTCTATGCTAGAAGGTCCCGAAATAACGTGTTAATGTTTTTTTAATGTTTGCTATAAACCATCAAATAAATGGAAAATGCGAACAAATCACAAAAGTCATTATAACTTCAAGGTTCCAAACTCATGCGATATTGACACCTTGATTGGTAAACTTCGGCACGTTCGGTACAGCGCTTGGTACAGCGATTTGCACATCTAAATCATGCGGTACAGATTATGATGTGCATAGTTGAATACCACTGGGCAAAATCACATAAATTTAATTGGATCGCATAAATGTTATGTGAAATTCAGATGAATTCCATTAATTTTGAACTGTCAAACTTTCATAGCGAATTAAAACAAACATTGTGTAGTACTAGAATTTCGACTAGAATGGGGTACGTTAATCGTTTGCTTAGGACCAATAGGCTAGTCAAGTAATGAGCCAATTTAAAATCGTTAGGTTCGAATTGATTGTTGCTTCTAGTCTTAGAGTTACCTCTATGATTAAAGTGCATCTTCTTGGATGTAAAATTAAAATTTATTTTTTGCTGTGTGGCGTTTTCATGCAATGTCCTTTATATAAGGTCCGGGTCAACAAGCAGCTTGCTGGTGTTAGAAGCAAACATATTGTAAACATTGCTGAGTACTCAAGTGACGGACGACGTCACTCTACCATAACATTCCATACTGCGAACAGTGAGATTTACGTTACTGCCAACAGCTGTTTAAACATTTGCACATTTCACTAACCCCAATAAGCCTGTTGGCTCGGACCTTATTGGCGTTGACGAGAGCTCTGTAACTCTTTACTCATATGGAGAAATCTCATATGTAATTGTCAGTCTATGTGTGAAACATGGCGGACTTTTTCTTATTCTCTCACTCCAACGCAAAACCCCATAAGGAACTGTCAAAATGTGTGTGAAGAAACGTCACTTCGGGACTGGTGTCAAGGCGAATATAAACCATATAAACGTCATTGGTTCTCATGCGCGTAGTTTGTCGGCTCACGAGCAAGAGATAATTTCGACAGTGAGCATGCATAAGGGCCTATACGCGATGATCGATTCTCTTCGTCGATTTTCTCTTTTGTTAGAACAACCGTACCAGTCGTTGCCATTTGCGGCACTATTTTACTTACGCACAGCGTTTCCATGTTGGCTCAATCACTCCTCTCCACACCGGTCGTTGCTATCAGAGTCATAATTTAAGTTACCGTTTTCCACACCGGCAAAACAAACTTTTGGCGTTTATTCAAAATAGCAACCGTCTGATGCGTTGCTACCGGGTTGCTAAATTTATGAACTCACTACTTCCCAAGGTGCGGATTGCTATTTCAATCTGAACCTGAATAGCAACCCCCGGTACGCAAGTAGCGTTATGGTAGAGGTTGGTAAATGTGCCTTATTTACTCATTGGTACGGTTGCTCTTAATAACTCGCTAGATTTAACCATGGTGGGTATATAAATGGTGATACAGCTTTGTCACTATATAGGCGAGGAGGTCGCGGGGGGGAAAAGTGCGGTTTTAGTGCAAATTGTAAACAAACTCGGTCACTGTCCCATACAAAAATCCAACATGGCTGAATCATGAATTTGACACATTAGAACACCTATATGTAGTCACCTTGGATTTAACGTTTCTCGGTGCGTTTGCTGTTGCTTTTGATAGCCAATACAACCTGTTACTACTCTGCATTGAACAAATTCTAGAAAATTGTTTCGCCTAGCTGTAGCAATGCAAAGAGAAAATCGATGAAGAGAATCGATCATCGCGTATTCGCCCTTATGAATCGATTTTGTCGGTACAAATTATCGCTATTTTGTGTTTATTTTTACTATGTGCATGTTCAAACTGACCTCCCATAAACAGTATTCACAAGGATCTAAAAAGTGTGATGAAAGTGCACGTTTCTGTCTAATCGTCTTGGTGTCTTTATCAAGTAAGCAATAAGTGCACCGAAGACACCAAAACGATTTGACGGAAACGTGCACTTTTTAGATCCTTGTGAATACTGTTTATGGCCTCCAAATTTTGTGGTAAACCTTCCCTTTTGACAATACTGAAAACATCATTGACGTACCTATACCAACACCTTTAGTTTGCTTGTAAAAATTGTCTCACAAAATTGAAATAGCTTTCCTCAATTCAAAGACGAGTAAGTGTAAGAATCGACTGATTTTTTTTTTCAATTCTCACGTTGTTTTAGAAGCCAATTTTTCAAAAGGCTAAAAGCTTCCTTTACTGGTACACTAGGGAAAAGTGCCATGACATGGAATCCATGACTTCATCTTCTCGAATATCTTCTGATGCCTGAAGTTGACTTACGAGGTTTGCAATACTTTGAACTCGTAATAGATTAAATTGTAGTGGAAATGACGGCTTCGGCATGCCAGACTATTTTCGGCAACCCAAATTGAAACACTATTTTCACTGGATTTTCTTACGAAAACACTTCGCTGAATGCATGCAAACGATTCTTTATGCTTTCAGCTTCAATTTGACTATATTTTTACCACTGAGAAAAAGCAATCTAGCAAGGTTTTCTTGAAATGAAACACACGCACTACAAATTGTAGCTGATTTCGAGTTGCCGATAATAGAACAGCAGATTTACATGCAGTTCAAATGGAACGGTTGCCGACAATACTCGCTCTCACTAGAGAAGATTACAAAGCTCCAGTAAAAGCGTTTCAAAACAGTTTTTGACAATTCTTTCGACTGAAATTGTTAGAGCAGCTGGCAGCAAAAGATTGTAAACAAACCAATACTGCATATGTGTGCGTTCCTTAAGAAAAAGGCTATAGAAAGAAGGTCGCTGCTTAGGTTGCCGAGAATACGTAAATTCCCCTACCTACGTATTTGGATTTATCAACTTAGTTTTTTATTAATTATTCTCAAGCACACGTGTGCTCTCCTTGCTTGCCACATTACTCTGTCACCTCTTAACTCTCGCTGTGTCACATCATCAACCGTTACCATATCGAGGAGCTATAGCGGATTCCCTCCGCGGCCCCAATCATAAGTAACAGCAGATTTTCTCGATCATATTTATGGCATTAATTTACAAATAAACTGAAACTAATTTCTGACTATCGGTATCTCAGTGTAATTTTTCCCACTTAGCGTAGTTTATTCATACTTGTACTTGCTTAAAACGATGTATATATTAGTCTGATAATGAAATTCACTGTAGATTCGAACAAATCTTGAATCTGAAATGTCTCTTAATATCAAACCAGCGCGCTGTTCTGCCGCTATTCGCATAACAGTCCAACATGAAAATGCGAATAGCGGAAGTGTTGTTTCACTCAATTGCATCCTCCAGTACCCCCTAAATCAGTAGGTATTATTCGATCCATGGTGCCGCTCGATGTGATTCTTCAGGCTGACCTTATAGTTGAAGGCATGCTCGCACAGGTGACAGGCGTAGGGCATCTCCTGCGTGTGGATGCGCTTGTGAACCTTGAGCGAGTAGGGCGCCTTGAAGGCTTTGTTGCAAACCGTGCAGACGTAGTTGCGCTCCTCCGAGTGGACACGCTTGTGCAGGCGGTGGTTTTTCCTGTAAGAGTAGAATTTTAAGCCACCATTTATCTGGTCAATGTTCCAATCATCATCTATCTTACGAGCTTCGGAACTTCCGTCCGCAGATGTCGCAGGTGTACTTAGCTTCGCCATGTACGTTTTCCATGTGCTTCGACAGGGATCCCTCGTTCTTCAATTGCAGCCCGCAAATGTCGCAAATTCGGCCTTCCTTTTCGCAGTACTTCCGCTCGTGCTTGATCCGGGTGTAGTTGCTGAAGAAGGTGTTGTCGCAGAATTTGCGGCACTTGAACGGCCGAATGCCTTTGTGCTTGTTCAGGTGGAATGTCAGTCCGGAGTTTTCGATGAACGTGGCCGTGCAAATTGGACAGGAAAAGTATTTTTCCTTCGACGGCGAATCGGGGTTACAGTGGGTCTTGTGTACCCGTATGGCGAGATGGCCATCAAAGTTTCTGCCACACGTTTCGCATGTAAAAATGTTTACCTTATAATCACCTTCCTCCAGTGGGACAGGTTCTGTTGCGTTGGACGTCGTAGGATTAGAGCTATTATAATTAAATATATTTGAAAAATCTAGAGCGGAAGAATGATTTTTTCCAAACTTACGGCTCAAGTTTTGGTTCTTTTTGAGCATCGTTGGGATCATCGTCCTGACCAATCACGGGAGTGACTTCAACCATTACAGCATTTGCCGGCTTCTTTTGTCGTTTTGCCCTGTTATGGCGAGCAGCCTGCTTTACTTTGGTTTCTTCCGCATCAAGTTGGTCCAGATGTTTCCGGACCATTTGACGCTTCAGATCGATTGCATTCAGCGTACTCTCGGCCATCCACTCGTCGTTCTGCTGGTCGTAGTCCAGTCCCATGAGGAATACCTTCAGCTTCTTGGTAGCCTTCTCACAGCACTGCCTAAAGTCTGTGATCAGTTCGATCAGCTTCCAGCAAGTGGGACACATGGCGCGATATTGCAGTTTTATGAGTATACCCAGTGCCTGAGCCAGCTTATGCTGTGCCTCGGTAACGTCGATGGCATTCGGCTCACGGTTGGAGCAAAATGTGACCTCCGATCCCGGTGGACATTTCCGCAAACATAGGATGCAGACAATGGAACCACTGATGCTGGGTTGGGCATGGGACTTTCTTGTTCTTGGCTTTTTCTCAACCAGCAGATCTTCCAGAAGTGATTCATCAATTTCTGATAGATCGTCCGAAAGGTGTTCCACTTTGATGTCAAGATCTTCCGTTGGAGAAAAAAAAAAACAATTATTATTGGCACCGAACATGTACAAACTCTAAGCTGGAATTCAAAAATAGGTATACAAACCTGGTTTTCCTTCGATATTGATAGAAGCCAGTCCTTCTGCATCATTGTCGAAAGGATATGACATTGTTTATCCTCAGATCTTTATTTTATTTTAGGGATGTATTTATTGAACGGGTAAAACTTTGAAGCAATCACTACAACTTTCGAATTCAGCTACATCGAAGAATAGCAAATACGTAAACAGAAAACAGCTGTTATGAAGACAGTGGTGTCAAATGACAGTTATAGACCGATGCTTAAAGCCAAAGTATATTAAAGCACAGGTATAATATTCGCTACAATGCTACACTGAACAACATCCATTGAAAAAAATACTATATTGCACTTACTAGGAGAAATACAGGTAATGTTGGCCTAAGTGTCCCTAATTTGGGACCATACATAAATTCAGCAATCGACTAAGTTTTCAATAGCAACCAAAAATATCAATTAGTAACGTCCCAAAAACGCGTTCATCTAGATAAAATTGATAAATAGCAGATTTTTAGCGATGGGCCCAGTATTAGATCCATAGGCCAACATTAGAGACATTTCCCCTAAATCAATCACCCCGATTCTCATCGATAAAAAACAAAATGGGAAATCCATTTCGATCGAAAACAGGACAAGAGGTGATGGCGATAGTCCATGGTTGGGTTAGCGGGGGAATCTGTACTAAATATGTACAACCATTGCCTACCTTGCATACACGCTGGTTTAGTAATTTAAATCGGTCCTCCCCCACGCTTTATGGATTTTTCGAATTAAATCGGCTTCAACAGACACCTACTTCCATTGTGAACTTCCTCGGTACGATTTAAGTAGAACATAAATTGTATTTAACTTTCGGCAGTATCTCATACATTAGAACAGAGCCTATTTACAGAAAATAATTTAATCCATTCGTGCTACTTAAAACCTAACCTACAAACTAATTCGTTCGACACACGGCGTTTCTGTTAAGATCCTCTGCACCGTCTCAATCCCGCACAAATTCCTTCTGGTTCCGGTCGCAGGCCAACCGCTTGGACAGCTGCTTGCAGAACTGCACATCCCGGATGTAGTCGCCGATGAACACCGACAGCAGGTACCACTGTTTCATGCCGGATGTCCGCACCTTGTAGTTCCTGGAAATCGCAACGTAAACGGAAGCAAGAAAAACAAAAGTTCAGTTCTACCGTTCTTCAAGATACTTCCCATGGGGGGTAAATTTTTGTCAACTTCAAGATCTCGTTCCAGTCCGGTTGGTAGTCGCCGGCGCCGGTGCTGCTGGTGCGGGTGGTTCGAACCGCATGCAGACGGCATGGTTCCTCCTCGATGCACGCCTTGGGCCCAAACTCCTGCAGGATCTTCCGTTCCGCCTGGGCAATATCGACGGCCATGTGGGAGATTTCCTCCTCGGTCAGTGCCGTACCGGCCAACGTTTCACGCCGGTTGCGGGATTGGTAGGTTTCTGGAAGAATAGAGGATTACATTTGATAAGTAATCGATTTGGGAGGAACATTTATTATGTGGATTTTGTTTTAGTGGAAATGAGTCATTAGGCTGTGTGTAATCCAACTGAATATTCTTGCAGGCTTGCAATTGCTCATTACAGCTAAAATGCTATTTTTCGTAATTATGAAACAATGAAATGCTGAGTTTCAAAATTGTTTTGAACTACTCGACAATTCTATAGTTTGAAGCTGTCAAAAATAAAACTTCAACACGATCAGCGCAACGCACAGTTCTAAAAGATGTTTGTAATCATCAAGTTCCATAAACTTTACTGTTCTCTATGAAGTTCTCCGTTTTTTGTTTGTGAAGCTCTTCAAAACATCTTTAAACGCATCCAAAGAAATTTGAAACAGAGTTCCATTCGTGTTTCAAACTCACTCAGAAATAAAACAGAATAGTCGAGCAGTTGCAAATCGGGTGCAAAATAGTGCTCGAATAATGAAACTACAACTCAGCATTGCGAGAGGTGCGTTTCTGTTCTAGTTTCAAATTGGAACAGTCCTTATAAAATACAACAGCATTGCGAACGGCCTAATGATAATGTTTATTTGTTAGATGCAAGAAGAGGTGGTAAAGTTTATGTATGACACATAAAATTTGTCAATTTTGCTTTCAGAAGGTCACAACTAGCGATTAGCTGTAACGATGAGCAACGCGATGAGCGAACAATCAGCGATCATAAAATCGCTAGTTGTGACCTTCTGAAAGTAAAATTGACAAATTTTATATGTCATACACAAACTTTACCACCTCTTCTTGCATCTTACAAATAGAAATTATCATTATAGTATCTCATTGTTTCATAATTACGAAAAATATCATTTTAGCTGTAATGAGCTATTGCGTGCCTGTTCTTGGATATTATTTCCGTTACTTCCATCTGTTGGACTTGACTTCTTCTTTATAAACATGAACAGTACTTGGACAGATAATCTTCTTCTTTTCTTCTTTCCTTTATTTAACGTCGGTCTTTGTTCCGTAATCTAGTGCCAATCACCGACGGACATCGATTGCCATCCATTGACGGCAATCGAATGTGCAGGAAGGCAGCTTCCACACTTGCGTAGGATATCGCACCCATTCACAACACATGGGCCGGGACCAACGGCTTTACTTCCTTTCCGAAGGAGGTCGTGACCAGAGATTTTTATGCCTCAGAAAAATCCCACCGACCTCGGCTGGGATTGAACCCAGACCCATCGGGGTGTTAGAAAGCAGTCACGCTTACCACTACACCACCGGCACCGGCTTGGACAGATATTGGCCATCCTCAAAATTTTGTGTGGTCTTGAACATTGTTTTTAACGCATTTAAATACTCGTACTGCTTTCACTTCTTCACGCTGCATGTATTTGACTAAAGCTTAAATCTCTTTTTCAAATCCATTTATTTTTATTTCAGATATTAATCACGATATCCGTTTACTTAAGAAACGTAAGAAGCTTTGTCCTTCAGAATGGTTGATGGTTGAATTAATACAACTCGATATTGAAGTGACCGTCGAGTTATAGACCAACGAGCCAAGGGAATCGTTTTATGGGATCATCGCAGCACCAAGGAAATTATGTTTTACCATGGTTCTATAATACAAGCTAGGTAGGACAAACCAAGAGCATTTTAGCAACTTGATTTAAAGAACATATAGCGGAGGCCAAAAAACAAGAGGAAAAGGCCTAACACATAATTTCAAATCAAAGGTTGCAGAACACATCTTCATCGAGGACCACCAACTATCGACGGAGGACATCACGATTTACGAACCGTATCTACACCATGGAAATTGGATGTTGCAGAGAGCCTCGAGATCAACAAACAACCTAGGAGATCCTCAGAACTTGATCAACCTGAAGTCTTAGAAAAAAACATCCAGAGAACTTTACTAATACCTTCGTCTATATGGAGATCTTTTGAATATTTCCTGCTATCTGGGAAAGATGTCTGAAAGAATATCCTCTAACTTATGCAACGTTTCCTGAACATCTATAAAACTCCTTAGGTTTTAGAAAAATTCCTCAACTTCTACGAAGTTCCCTGAATTTATTCGAAATTCCATTGTTTTCCCATCTCTCTTATTTCTACTACAGGGCTGGTAGCAGGTCACTTTTTAATGGCTTGGTTACTATTTTTAAGTCAGTCACTAATTAGTCACTTTTTACACCAAAAAGTCACTTTTTCCCATCCAATAGGGTGTAAAAATATCATCAAAATGTTTAAATTGAGTACTTGCACTAAGGAAGTCTACAGTAGTTATGACGAAATATGCATATCAGTCAAAAAATAAACAATTATAACCGGACAAATTTTAAAACACCGGGAAACAAACTTGGAATAGTGTTGAATTTCGAGGACAAATCGGGGAAAATAAACTTCCTTTTCTCAGAAATAAATTCTGCACCTTGGAAAATTTTCAAGGATATTGGTCTATGCTAAATTTTTTAGAAGTCTTTAATGAATTACTAGAAATATCAATGACAATTCTAAATGATATTTGAAGTGAATATCAAAGGAATTCTACAGATGATACCAATATATTTCAGAGAAAAATGCCAAACTACACACTACGAAGGTCTCTTTTAAATTTAGGTACTCTGAGGGTCGATTTGTTCGCCTCCGCTTAAATCTTATGCCTGTTTTAAGGCTTAAGCGGAGGTGAAAAAATCAGCCCTGAGAATGACACATACGAGCTTCACTTTTGATATTACATGATTAAAAACGCAAAGTTCAACACCAAAACAATTTTTTGGAAGAATTCCAAGATAATTGAGAGCCAAGCTCCAGGTGCATTGTAACGAGAGTTCTGAAAAGAATTCTAATACGATTGGATGAGGATTCTTGGTCCAAATTCTAATAAGTTTTTAAAATAAGTTCTTATAAATTATTTAAGCAAATCCCGTGAACTCCAAAGGTCTCCAAACTCAGCGAATAGTAAAGGAATTCTGAGGTGATTTCTGAGGCTGATTCCAAGAGAATTCTAAAGAATTCGAATGAAATTTCAAGAACAATTCCAATAGAATCAACATGGAACTGTGAGAAGAGTTTCAAGGGTATTCTGGGATGTATTTTGTTGTTGAGAATTCTGAAGAAATACCATGGAAACTCTATATAGAATACGAATTCAGGGTCCAAGATCATTCAGAACAGAAATTTAAGACATTTCTGAGATTAATTGCAGGAGACTTCAAGTAAATTAATGATTCTAAAAAAGTTCTTGAGAACATTGCGATGAATTTCTGGCGAATAATCCAGGTTAACATACCTAGATACATAGAATTTTTTAATGTTTCGAACGCAGAAACAAATTCAAAATCTACGAAAAATACTGCAGTTGTAGTTAATCCTATTTCACCTAGTGGCTTAATTGGTTTGTACATTAGTTAAAATGTATGTCACACAACCAGTAAAATTTACAAAACTCCAGGAAATTTTAAAATTGATATTTTCTGGTCACCATGTGAAATGTAATCATAAGAAAAGTATTCAGATCGATATAATTAGAGGAATTTATGAAATGTAATTGTAGGTTCCATGACAAAAAATGGAATTTATTTCAATATCAAACCGTGTTTGAATTTCTGAGTTACCATACTTATTATTTATAAGTCACTATTTGGTCATTATTTTCATAATTTTAGTCACTAAAGTCACTACTATCATATCGCATCAGCACTACCAGCCCTGCTACTAAGATCTTTTGCACTTCTGGAAAAATACCTATCATCTACAAATATTCTTGAACATCTGGAAAGTTCCTTGAAATTTAACGAAATTTCCTAAACTAAAGTGAGAATCCCTGTAGTTCTTAGAAATTTATTGAACTATTTTTAGATCATCTATAAAATTACCTGAACTTTATCAAAATTCCTTACACTTATATGAAGCTTTACGCAGCTCCTCAAAATGCTACGAAATACGCAAAACTTCGACAAAATTTGCTGCACCTCTATGATTCTCGCTCGATTGTCGTAGATGTTCCGCGAAGCTCCACGAACGAAAGTTCTTGAATTTGTATGTAATTTCCACAACTATTCCGAGTCCATGAGGCTTAAAAAAGTGCCCTTAAATTATATAGAGGTTTCCGATCAATAATGAGCTTCCCTGAAATAAAATAATGTTCCCTTAACTTGTACAAAGCGCCTAAAACTCAAATCTTCCACTTCCGTGCAGTTTCAGAACTTTTCCAAGTTCCTTTTGTTAATACTTTATTTGTACAGGCTCAATCGAATAAACTTTACAGAGCCAAGTTATCATTTTCTTTATACATTATAAATGTCTTAAATCTAAAATTAAAGGATTTGACCGATTACTCGCGGTCTTCTCGAGGTTAGTGGATGACAATTGTTTGGATCGGAAGAGAGAAAAGGAGACTTGGAATATGATTTATGATTAAAAAATTTCACTATTTCTAAAACATATACTATATAGGATTATATATAGGGATTACTATCGACGTTATATCAACTCTGTAATTAAACAATTATTACAGAAACAAATATTCAAAAAAAAAAAACACACACAAAATACAAACTAATTCTTAAAGAAAAGATATATGAGTTGCATAAACTCCAGATCGCGTCTAGCCAAAATATCCCGAACTGGGACATTAGGTTGTCTACCTCGAGCCCGAAGGGAATCGTACAACTCGGATCTGACTCCACGGTGCTCAGCACATGACCAAATAATGTGATCTGCGTCCTGGTAACCTTGTCCACATTCACAGAGATTACTGTCCCCCAGTCCAACACGGAACAAGTGAGCGCTTAGCGAATAGTGATTGGATATGAGGCAAGACATCACACGAATGAAGTCTCGACCCACCTCCAAACCTTTGAACCAAGGACACTTCGACACCTTAGGGATGATTGAATATAACCATCGTCCCAAACTCCCTTCACTCCATTTATTTTGCCAGCTGGCGAGTGACTGTTGACGATAAATGAAGAAAAATTCGTCGTAGGC